AGGATATGTGAAAATTGATTCCTGTTCAATTGATATGAATAGAACATGGTATGAACTCCAAAACTCTGTGAGGCTTTGAGGTCTTCTTTTTCTTCTTCTTCGAAGCACTGGTGGGCGGGTGAACCCTCTGCACGTGGGCCTCCTTATTCGGGCCCATTGTGCGCCCACATATGTTACGACATTCAGCTGGGTATGCCGACTGCCTTGGAGAAGTTCAGCAGCTTCCTCAGCTGAATCTCTTTTACGTCCTCTGGCCTCAAAATTATGTTGCCAAGGACAGCCCTCCTCTGATGCGTCAGTGCTGGACACTCAGTGAGGACATGTGATGACGTTTCGTCATCTTCCAGGCACCATCTGCAAAGGGGGTCATCCTTGATCCCAATAAGCTCTGGGTGCCTATTGAGGTGGTTGTGCTCCGTTAGGAGCCCCACTACCATTTTAAGGTTTCGCCTGTTTAGGAATAAAACCTCTTGCCATATTTTGAGGAATTGCTTTTGCAGCTGTTCCTCTATAGAGGACATTGCCAGGCTATTTGGTATTCCCAAGATTGGTTCCGGTCCGACCGAGGTCCGTCCTGAACCGATCTTTGCCAGTCTGTCTGCCTCCTCGTTTCCGGGTATTCCCGAATGTCCCAGGACTCACATGAGGCTGACTTTTCTTGATTTTGACAGGTTTTCCAAGGCTTTTCTGCACTCGGACACCAAATTGGATGTGATCCTATTGGATTGCGAAGCCAGTATTGCAGCTTTGCTGTCCGAGCATATAGTGATTGGTCTACGACCTCTCATTCTTAGGTTTTCTTGGACACAGGTGAGTATTGCAAGTACTTCTGCCTGGAACACTGAGGCATATTCGCCCAAAGGAACTGAAAGGACCCCGCACCGCATCAATGGGAAATTGGCTTTCGGTGAATTTACTCGAATTTTTGATATATTGTAGAACTCGTGGTGCTGATCAAATGTCTCCATTGCACCAACGCTCTAAAATCAACAGTTACGATTATATAGGGTGATAAAGTTGACTTTTCCAGAATTTAAGATAGTAATTGCGAAGACACCTTTCATAATTTCTAAACCAAATCAACTGTGCATTGATTGTTCGAATGACCGATACGAATCTACTATAAAGTATAATGATTCCTGCACGTATCAACAATATACAGGGTTGGTCGGAACATAGCGAATTTCATTTAAATTCTGTTGTATACAAATATCATCCCCATTTCGTGATATAAGCATCTCCTAATCAGATATTATATACAAGATGTTTTATTTTTGATAAAGTCACATCCATGTTAGGTACTTATTATTGGCATCCTCAATATGACTCACAACTTGAACAACCTATGATGAATGTCCACTCTGCAAATCCGTGAAATATACGGAGTGGATGAAAAATCAATAGTCTTTGCTAATAACTTCTCAAGAGTAGTATGTGCAGATTCTTGTGACCCATTTTATTGACCCTGTTTCATAACGACATTATAATCAATGAAACTAATTTGAACCATTCGATGCAGTATATTTTTAATAACATGTTAGATCCGTAAATTCGAGATGTGGAAGTCCCCTTTGGTCTCGCCTTTCAATAGCGATTTCTCGCTTCATTTCATTTGGTTCTCCCTCGTAGTCGTACCATATTTTGTATATTGAATGCCGAATGACACGTAAAACAATTCAATCGGCGACGATTAGCCATTTTTCAAATAATTATTATTTTGACTTCTATAAGAACTTGACAGATGCAATAGTTGCAAATGACAATGTTAAACAGATGAATATAGTTGCTATGTGCCTGCCATATTACATTATTTGAACCAGAGCAATCTTATTATGATCAAGATGAACATGGAGTCCATCATGAGAAGAGATCGATCACCGTAATTGAATGAAATCAAAGATTCATTCGGCATTTGTAAGAATTTATCATTCGTCCTCACTCAATATTCTATTATTTTATATTACCATGATTTCATGATGATATGTGTGTATGTTCCCAACTGATTTATATATTCATTGTTAAATACTGTCTGTAGGTTAATTGAGTAGGTGAAATATTCATCATTATACTGATGGTGAATTTTTGTTTTAGGCTCTTTGATAGTGACATCTTTGGGGCAAATCATCTGATTTGTCCTTACTACACGTATATTGAAATGATACTCATTTTTTTATTTTATATAGAAACGAGGTGAGAAAATCCCAAAAAATCTGGAATAATTTATATATTTATGTTTATTGAAACTAATATAGCTGCTTCTATCTTTATTGAGTACGTTATAGACTCGGCTATAAAGTCAGGAGTACTTTTCAAATATAATATTTATGCCATCGTGTTGATTTTCATACTACCTTATAAACCAACCAGATAGTATTGTTTGTTACATTAGGTATGTATTTTAGATAGTTGGGTTCATCTTTATATGTATTTTTGTATGAATGTCTGTTTGACTCAAGATACGCCAATGTATAATTAGCCAATTTGATGTTAGAAAAGGCTATCAGAGTCAATTTAGTATAAGCCACGATATAGAAGCAGAAAACCTACCAGGTGAAATTGGCAGGATCTCATATGAAAGATGTATATGATATCACGATGAAAATCAATTTCAATTCAAATACGAACGCTCATGGATTTTTACGAATGAGAATTCACTCAAGCTTTCGTAATTCCAAGAAATAACAATAAATTGCGGATCGCATTCAATGCCGGAAGACATTGACATGATGACACCTAATGTAAAAACGAATACATGAAATTGGTCATTCATAATATATTGTTTACTACTTTAATTATGTTTTAACTGTTATGTTTACCTTACTTCAGCAGTGTTTGAGGGTTGAGGTATTCTAGAATTGAGTATGACGAGTTGTATACAGGAGACTGTTCAAGAAGTTGAATAAATTCAACTTTTTCATTTCGTGAAACGAATTCGTTTTATAAACTAGTGATCGAGGAAATATAATCGCTTGTCATAACACGGAAGTAAAATACTATGTAAGGTACAGAACTTTTGTTGTGATTGAATATCAGAATATTTTGATATCCATAATAACTGTATATTCATTGTTCTTGTTTCCTATTGTTGATTGTTTCACTATCACCTGAAAAACCTATGATACATGCATATTATCAAAAATATACTACATCGAATGGTTCATATTATTTTCATTGAATATAATGTCGTTATGAAACAGGGTCAATAAAATGGGCCAAAAGAATCTGCACAATCATACTACTCTTGAGAAATTATTAGCACAGACCATTGATTTTTCGCCCACTCCGTATATTTCAAGTATTTGCAAGGTGAACATTCATCATGGAATGAACGAGATTCCCAATAGGTTGTTCAAGTTGTAAGTCATAATGAGGATGCCATTAATAGTTATCTAACATGGATGTGACTTTATCAAAAATAAAACATCTTGTATATAATATGTCTGATTAGGAGATGCTAATATCACGAAATGGGGATGATATTTGTATACTACAGAATATAAATGAGATTCCACCGCACACTTTTCCGAAAATCACTGAATTATTCGCCATGTTCCGACCAACCCTGTATATTGTTGGTACGTGCAGGAATCATTTTACTTCATAGTAAATTCGTATCGGTCATTCGAACAATCAATACACAGTTGATTTGGTTTCGAAATTATAAAAGGTGTCTTCACAATTACTATCTAAAATTCTGGAAAAGTCAACTTTATCACCCTATATAATCGTAACTGTTGATTTTAGAGCGTTGGTGCAATGGAGACATTTGATCAGCACCACGAGTTCTACAATATATCAAAAATTTGAGTAAAGCCAATGTCCCATTGATGCGGTGCGGGGTCCTTTCTTTCCCTGTTTCTTCATTGTATACCCCTGCACCTGAACTGCCCCCAAATTTTGAGCCATCCGTGTACCAGATTGACTCATTAAGAGGAGGCACGCCAGGTGTTGTGTCATTCCATTCTTCCCTCGTAGGGATGACAGTGTTTGGGGCTTTGTTGAAGTTCAGAATTGGCAAGGTATTATCCCTTCTCATCATGAGGATGGGATAGTTTTCCTTTGCCTTATTCCATATGAGGGAGTGTCCATGATCTGCTTCTGTTCCGACCCACTGGTTTGCACCGTTGAGTCGGTAAGCAGTTCTCATGGCTTCGTGTTGTATGAACAGGTGTAGAGGCGGAAGACCTAACAGAACTTCAAGAGCCCTGGTAGGCGTCGTTCTCGAAGCACCTGTTATTCCCAGGCAGGCCAGTCGCTGGACTTTATCCAGTTCTCTGTTGGTCTTGCCCTTATTGGTACTGGTCCACCATACAATGGACCCTTACGTAAGTGTTGGGCGTATTACTGCCGTGTATATCCAGTGAAGGGTCTTAGGTGTGAGACCCCATGTTTTTCCAAAGGCTCGTCTGCATGCCCAGAAGCAGCATACAGCCTTCTTAGTGCGGTTTGCGATATGCTCATTCCAAGTGAGCCTGGAGTCTATTATAACTCCAAGGTACTTTGATGAGCTTTTATATTGGAGACACTTTTCCGAGAGAAATATCTCAGGAAGTGTTCCTATTTTGCGTTTCTTAGTGAATAATACCAAGTTCGCCTTTTCTGGATTGACTCTCAATAGTCTCAATCCACTGGTGGAGCACCACTGTTCCACTTTATTGAGGGCTTCCATGATTGGATTCCCTAGCCGGTTCGCCGATTGATTTTGGGCTTTGAGGTCAATTGGAAAAACATTCTGTAAATCACACATATTTGGTCACTGAGAGGTGAGGACGGTAGCAAAATTGTTCCTGCGTAATATTCAAACGAGCTAAAGGAGAAAATTGTTTTTTTTTCTAAAGGAGGTGTCATTGACAACCGATTAAATGAATTTCACGAATTTATTTTATAACGTGTTCACGGTACAATAATATTTCAGACCGTTTTGAAATCTGCATCACAATATATGTTATGTCCCATTCAGTGTTGTCAATAACTTGCAATTGAACATCAAACAATTTCAGGCCTTTCAATGTCCTGACCATAAAAGGCCCATTCAGTTTGGCGGAAATACATTCGTGGATTGGACAATGCCTACCGGAAGTACCTGAAAAACCTACAGTAGCCGAGAAAACAGAACTTTGGTTCGGTTCTACTCTTCTGAATACCATCTTGGAATGTACCTACCAGTAAGCATATCTCAATTACAGTATTTCTACATTGTGCAAGGATTTTATATATTTTAAATGAAAAAGAAAATTTTTCAACATATCTTGCTGGAACGAAAGTGTTTCTTGAGTTTGTTCACAAAGATTGTTACAAAGTCGGAAAATATATGTGTTTGGTATGGATGTATGGAACAAGTTATTATAGCGAGTGGAATATTGTGGAACATTGTAATGAATCAAGTTATTCATAGATGAGGAATTTATCATTTTGAAAGAGAATTTGATATCGGCGATAGTTCTTTTGTCAGCAAGACTAATCAAATTGAGTTTCCGAATTACGAAGTCATTTTGTGGCGTGTTTTCGAAATATTTTTTGTTGATAGAGGCAATGAATTTGTTCTGAATACTCTCTATTTGTTTCGTGTATATTATACAGGGTGAGTCATGAGGAACTGTACATGCTCCTACTAAGAATAGAGGCACCTGAGGGAAATACCAAATGACCATCAGAAAGTGTCTCCGCCTCTTCTAAAATGATCTATAGGGTGATTTATGGGATATAGCCAAAACTTCTTTCAATCATAACATTCCAACAGTTCTTTTGATTCCTTTCATTTTTCCATGAATTATTATGCTGTCACTCAAAAATCAACTGACGTATTCAGAATCGTGAAAATCCAGGACCGGTCTTGAGAAATTCTGCCAATTTGGTTCATATAAAAAATTTCACCCTGTATAAGGTTTTAGTAAACTGTGATATGAAATTTTCAAAGTTGAAGTACAGGCAATCAAGATGAAGTATTTTAAATTTTCCTAACACTTTCATTGAATTTCTTAGAAAACGATTAATTTTGACTACACGCGAAACTTTGGCGACAAATGTATTCATTTGAAAGTTAATACTTCGCAACGCATGAATTTCACGAATAGAAGTAGGGATAATATTATTCACGATTCTTCAGCTCAACAATAATCAACATTCTTCTATCTCCAGGGTTGAATTCAGTAATTTTTTAGTAGAGAGTAATAATCACCAAAATTTTCATCCTGTATATGGTCTTGGTAACCTGTGACATGGAATTGTCAAAGTTGATGAACCAGCAACCAAAATGAAGTATTTTAAATTTTCCTCAGAGTTTTACCGAATTCTTTAGAGTACGATCAATTTTCACTACACGCGCGAAACTTTGGCAACAAATGTATTAATTTGAAAATTAATACTTCGCAACGCTAGAATTTCACGAATAGAAGCAAGGATGGTAATTTTGCACTTATCATGCGATGGGTTTTTTTTCGAAAATTTTTTTTGGTACTTACGTATTTTTGTCTGAAAAACACGAATTTGATAATGAAAATGTGAACAAACCATTATTCATTGAGATATTTCACTATAAAGTTACAAATTTCACCTTCTTTTCCGCCTGTCTTTGGGCGCATTTAGAACAATTTGCCCTTCTTTTTCCATCATTGGACAATTTATCTATATCACACAATGTTGGACACATATTTTTCATTATATGAGTCAACTAGAAATATGATTTTCTTGTGATTTATCCATGTTTAGTGAAAAGAAGGAAGAATATCATTTGAAATAATGGCGTGTGTGATGTCATTCCAAAGCAATCTATTGACATTTGACATCTCCTATTTGGATTACCCATCGTTTAAATGGCGGTCATCTGGTATGCTTGCTCACTAAATAGGAAAAACTCACCATAAAAATCATATTTCCTGTTGAATTTTCTAGCTTAAAATGTGTCATTGAAGTACATCATGAGTATATGAAGTGTCCAATGACAAAATAAAAAGAGCAAGTACCTGTAAATGCATCCAACACAGGGGGGAAAATAAGGCAAAATTTCGAACTTTTTCTTGAAGTATCTCGATAAATAGTGGTTTGTTCACATTTTCAATATCAAATTCGTGTTTTTCAGACAAAAATACGTAAGTACCAAAAAAAATTTTCGAAAAAAAACCCATCGCATGATAAGTGCAAAATTACCGCAAGGATAACATCAATTCCTATTCTTTAGCTCTCTGAAAATCAACATTCTTCTATATCCAGGGTTGGATTCAGTAATTTTTTGGTAGACGGTAATAGCATTGGTCACACTGTATGATTTTATCATAACGGTATGTGCAAATCTTGAAAATCATGGACCCAAAAATCTTTTGTAGTGTTTCTTAGAAATCCGCAATATTATGATAATTCGAATCAAGAATTTTCCAGGCAATTTCTTTCAACAGACGTGTCATCAACTGAAATCTGGAATATTCATAAATACTCAGAATCTTTATTACAAATCGATTAAAAACCTCAGAATATTCTAATGATTCAAGCTATAACATTCGTCCATCACATTACCTACTATAACATCATACAGGATGATTATTACTTTCCACAAAAAAAAAAGAAATACAACCCTAGAAATTATAGTCATGTTGATTATCATTGGGATTAGGAATTGGAATCAATGTAAATCTTGCTTTTATAAGTGAAATTGGAGTGTTGCGAAGTATTTATTTTAAAATTAATTCATTTTTTTGCTAAAGTTTCGTGTTTGGTAATAATTGATCTTATTATTTGAAGAAATTCATTAAAACAGTATGGACAATTTGTAATGCTTCATTATGGTTGCTTGTTCGTCAACTTCAAAAATTTCATGTCACAGTTTACTAAAATCATATACAGGGTGAAATTTTTGGTGATTATTACCCTCTATCAAAAAATTACTGAATCCAACCCTGGAAATGGGAGAATGTTGATCATTGTTGAGCTGAAGAATTGGAAATGATGTTATCCTTACTTTCATACGTGGAATTCATGCATTGCGGAGTATTAATTTTGAAATTGATACATTTGTTGCCCAAGTTTTGCGTGTAGTATAAATTAATCATTTTCTAAAAAATTCAATGAAAGTGTGAGGAAAAATTGAAATACTTCATTTTGGTTGCCTGTTCATCAACTTTGAAAATTCCATGTCACAGTTTACTCAAATCTTATACAGGGTGAAATTTTTGATATGAACCAAATTGGCAGAATTTCTCAAGACCGGTCCTGGATTTTTACGATACTGAATACGTCAGTTGATTGCTGAGAGAAAGCATAATTATTCATGGAAAAATGAAAGGAATGGAAAGGATTGTTGAAAAGTTATGATTGAAAGAAGTTTTGGCCATATCCCATAAATCACCCTATAGATTATTTCAGAAGAGGCGGAGACACTTCCTGATGGTCATTTGGTATTCCCCTCAGGTGCCTCTATTCGTAGTAGGAGCATGTACAGTTCCTCATGACTCACCCTGTATATACATGAGTGGGAAAGTTCCCCACAGAAGCAATGAGTTTGTTCTGAATACTCTCTATTTGTTTCGTGTATATTATATAGTAGGGATTCCAAATGGTTGAGGCGAAGCCTAGCAGATTATTTACGTATGACATGAAAAGAGTAAGCAAGGCATGATATTCTCCAAAAGGTGTAACATGAAAATTTGCCTTTTCGTGTTCCATATTGTGAATTCTACATGTAGGTAGTGGGGAAGCTCTGTGAAGATGCACTGCGTAACCCGATGATTTCTTTTCTAGCTTTTGAGGTACTTTATAAAGTTCCATAACTTGACAAATGTTTTCATTTTCAATGTCCATGATTGGATGACTGTTCAGACTGTTAGGTTATTTTTGCCTACTTCTTATCCAATCTTACACTTTTGTCAGATGCCTATGAATACTGTAGTTTACATCTCAGTCTCTTGCCAGTAGAAGACTGTTTTTCACGATTTGTGGCAGTGGCTTGTAATGGTACAGGGATATCCACAATTTTGTATCGACTGGTGAATCGACTAATGTATCGACTATCGATATCATGATCGATATTTAATATTTCTTTCAAGTTGCATCCTTGAATCATATTATTTGGGTGGCTAGCTTGACGCTGCGCAAAGACGAAATTTGGTTTCCAATATTTGTTTGAGGTGGATCGCAAGTGCTCTGATTGACGGAAACTTGTTGTTTGAGCAATTTCTGTTTCTTTCTTCATCCTTCCTGGTGATTCCTTCTCTCACGAAGATGTTTCATGTGTTGATGCCAAAATGAGGCCCTTTTTGATAAGTTGTTCTTAAAATGAAACCTAGCATTCTGTTCGCTTTCTTAGGAATGTGAGAAATATTTCTAATGAAAGTCATTTTTGAATCGAAATGATTCCCAAATTCTCCACTTCACTACAGGAGTGGATATAATGATCCTGCATGGTATAGTTATGAATAATCAAATTAGAGTTTCTACTCAAAGTCATCTGATGGCATTTGTTGAGATTCAGGAAAAGGTAGTTATTTCTGCAGTACTCTAAGAATCGATCAAGGTCCTCTTGAATGAGCATTTAATCATTCAAGTGTGAAACTGTATGAAATATTCTAAGATCATCATACGAGAATTCGAAACATTCAGAGATGTCATTTATATAAATAGTGAAAAGTAGGAGACCTAGATTTGAGCCTTGAGGAATACCCAACGTGATGTTGACTGATCTTCAAAGATTACCAATACAAACTGTCTGTTTACGATTACTCACGTTAGATTGAAACCAATTTAGTAGGGAGCCAGCAATGTATGATCGAATATAAGCTTAGCTGAAGTCGGTGTATACGGCATCTTCTTGAATATCCCATTTTAGTTAAGAGTGCTAGGTTTCTCGGTTGTTATTAATTATATAACCTTAGTTGCAGCATGTGCATCGCCAGACAAATGTCTAAGAGGTGGCTGAAATTGCTTTCCCAGGGCGATAATCTGTGCAATTCAGATATGAACAAGTAAATGTGCCGCAGGATGCATTTTTTGATTAATTCAGATGCTTTCAAATAGAAAGTTATATCATTCACGGGTATCACCAACCACATATTTTAGCCCTAATAGCACACAACGTCCTAGGGACGTCCCTATTTGGTACAATTCAAGTCTGAATGTCCCGGACCAAAAATAAGTGTCCTCGGGACGTCCCATCCTGTACATCTCATGCAATGTCTGAGCAAACTCCACAGATATGTTCCGGCAGGTACATCATTTCAAATGTCATAGAAATAGCATACCTTAGACGTCCCACGTGGTACATATTGTATAATGTCCATGCAAGGACGTCCTTGGCATGTCCCTAATGGGATATGATTTTGAACGTTCCTTTAGGAACATCCGTCGGATGTCCCGAGTAGAACATATTCTGACTTGCCTTCAGATCTTACATAATGTCACTTCTAGACAACCATGAAATGTCCCTGATGGTACATTCCTTCAAATATCTCTGCACAGACTCCCTTAATATTTCCAGGATCGTATAACAATCGAAATGTCTCTTAGGGACATCCTTCGAATGCCCCTTAGGGATATCCGTCGGATGTTCCAATTGATACATGAACTGTACTCTTCCAATGTCATAGAGATAACGTCCTACGGACGCCCCAGTCGGTACTTTCAATATGTTGTCCCTGCGAGGACGTTAACTTACACCTCGCCGACGAATGATTGTTCGTAGGCTATGAATATTCCCCGTCAATGTCCTTCACGTAAGTCCATTGGACATCAACTCAACTGGATGTCCTCATCAGTTATGCAAGATCTGGTCCTAGAGGGACCTAGAAAAAATCTAATCCAAGAATAATTCGTACGTTCCTGGGACATCCTATGGACATCTAATTGTTATCCCTCAGCGTTGCTGATATGTTGTCGTACGGATGTCCTAAGGATGTCCTAAGAATGTCCTCCGTAGTGCTTGATGAGGAATACTGTAGGATTTAGGTATTCAATAGTTGTCCCAGGGACATCCCTCAAGGACGTCCCTAGTTGGTCCTCAAGTGGGACATTTGTGCGTCCCACAGACCCAATGGACGTCCACGGTACCAAATTCGAACGTCCTGAATGTCCCGACAAAACGTCCTAAGGGTATTCATGGGACATATTTGTATTATTAGAAAGTGCATTTTATGTGTTTTCAGATGTATGACAAATTGATATTAAACATACAGAACGTGGAAAGAGACTTCAAATTGAGGAAACCTAATCACGAATCTGCGATTGGAGGTCTATAAAATAACAAGTTTCCATCGTTCAAGTTTGCGAACCCATTGATTGGGTGAAACTATTGAAAACGGAATATTCTCAGATGATCATCATAAATATGAAAAGATGGATAACTATATTGATACATTGAGAATTCGCATTACCTATGTGATGAAAATATCAATTCTTTGTTGAGATGTAATTCCCATATCACTGATTCGAATGCTTCATTTTGGAAGCTCCAGAATCATCAAGATCAGAGTTTATACGAGTATACTTCTATACATATCAATTTTCATTTAAATACTGAACATATCGAAAAGTTATAATTTTATATCATATTTTGTCATATCTGCTTTCAGGAAAGGAGAGGCAGTATTCAAATCAGATAATGTTTCGACAATATCAATATTGAAAGACAACTTAACTTCGGAAGCGACAAAGAAGAAAATCAAAGTTGATATCAAAACACGTAAGCTTTACAATAATTCACCTATTTACAGAATAATGATCTATATAATAGGAATGCGGAAAAATATTCAGTAGGTTCTCCCTGCCGAATGAAGTTTAATAATATTGATTCGAAAACTAATTGACCAAAATACTATACATGATATTACTCCTCATTCTTTGAAGCAATCAGCCGTCCATTATTTTTCCATAATCTTAACCTCACTCAATCTGATAGATGCAGAAGTGACTGATTCATTCCAGTCACTTTCGAAAACAGTAACATAATATTTTCTTTTCTTAGATCATAAGATAAGATCATAGAAAAATATTAATGGGGAGAAGACAAAACAAATTTTGGAATGTTGAGAATATAGTAAATACTTCTTCTGAAATGTTGCTTTTCTACAGAAATCTGTTAATCTAATCTCACTGAAAGCCCTTCGTGGCATTGTTGCATCTTTTACTACTCATGCTCACATGTGTTCGATAAGATATGATAAAGGAGACGCTCATTAAATGATATTGGCCTTCTAAATCTGGAAATTCTGTGATATCAACTTGCGATTTACTGGCTTATGTAATGCATATATGACAAGCTTCATTAGAAAAATATGAGGAATCTCTATAGTCGTGGCGTTGATAGATATATTCGAATTATTCGACCGTGTTCGCTAATATTATAATATAACCTGGTTGAATTTAAGGCAACCAAAACTCAAGCTTGTATATCCTCTAAACGAAGCAGAACTCAATATGCCTTATATAAAAATGTCTGGTACTATAATTCCCACTGTATCCATGCTAGGTACCATCATCAGTAAAACTCATTTATGAAAAAATCATGTCAGAGAAAGTGACCACTGATGATGAACCTGTTCTACTAATTTCATGATAACAAGGTGATTTCATGAAATTTCAAGGGATTTCATGATGATTTCAAGGATTTCATGTTGATTACATGATGATTTCATGTGATTTCATATGGTTACATGGTCAATACATGATGCTCATATTCATGATGATTGTTCCAGGATTGCACAGAAACTGTACTTCTTATTCCGTGTGGAAAGCTACTTCATACCTCAATTTACATAAAATAACCTAAATGTTATAGACAAAGCCTCAAGGTTGAGTGATCAAGGGTGACTGTCGAAGTCCGAAATACTCTTCACTTTCTGACTCCATATGCTATTCTTCCATACATGTACACGTCTGGCAAGAATCATTTCCCTATAGAGAAACTGTTTGAATGGATATACGCATATATAGACTCATGGGTAGTCAACAAAGAGATGGAGAAAGCGTCCTTGCCCCACCTACTCGAGTATGGCACGTATTGACTTGCTCGAAGGAGGTGTTAGCGCAAGCGTATGGCAACGTCGCTTTTTCAAAATGCCCATGCATACGATTTCTCTATAGAAAAATTATTCCTACCACACGTGTATACCAACCTCACCATAGTCCATTTATTGTTATATTTTCTTTTCGTTTGTTCATTTGTTTAGATTCATTACCTAGCGGATAGCTAGTGCTAAAACTCAACTCTGTTTTGGACTTTCACTGGAACCAACGGCTTCGCTTAATTCGCTGGTTACATACACATCCATTCATTCCACATTTACTTTCCAGAAATTAATGATGAATCAGTGAATTTTGTGCTGCGATCGATAGAAGAGAAACTTCTGAAGCATCAAAAATTGGCAAAGGACCTAATTCTGCTGAATGCATTGAACGAATTAGAAGTAACTGAAGAGGAAACCACTAAATATTTATCTGGAAAATACAGGAATCTCCTAAGTTCTGCCAAAGAAATTCGGAAACAAGCTGACAGTGATCTTCACTGCCTTCAGAGATATTATGGTGTGTAGATTAGTCAATTTCATTCATATAGGTATTTAGGGGGACAGAATAATGTTCATATGTATTGGGATCCTAGAAGTGATCTCAAAGGGCATACAAAGGTTCTTCAGAACAAATTGATGCTGGGAGTGATAGTGAATATATTGCTTTGGAGTATAATACACTCACCGGCAAGAGAACCGGCCACCAAAAAATTTGTCGAAATTATTCTCCCTGTAACTTTTTTAATTCTTGTCCGATTTTCATGGCATTTCGATCAAATTGTAGATTCATGTTCGATAATGTTAACCTGAATATTAGTTTTCGGAAAAGCTGATGGCTTGATCATTATACAGGAAGAAACCAAAGTTACTATTTCACCCTCTACTTTGTAACGCCCTGTGGCGTAATTGAATAGTTGAAATTGGCTTCATCATGCTTCTCAAAACATTTGTTTTGGATTCACGTGAATATCTTATTTTCAACTCATTATCTTAGCACTCTCCAGGAAAAACCTTAGTTACAAAATATAAACAAAGAGCAGTTTGAATCACAGCTTCCAACCGCTGTATGTATCATCGAGTTAGTCAAATTTCTCAAGTAGTCTTGAAGAATTGCCCAAAATTCTCCGTGAAGGGCGAATCGTAGCCCTTGAAGAGTGACTGACAAGGCCGGACGAAGACGACGGAGCCTATGGAGTTCATCCCTAAGATGCTCGATAGGCTCTGAATTATGGTTAATAAAAATTGAATAACTCTATACGTTCCTAAAACAGTTAAAAAGGAGATATTGACGTGACGTGAATCCAGAACGATTGTGTTGAGAAAATATGATGAAGCAGAAGGTTGGAGAAGGATTCTCAATTATTGTTGATAAAAATTTAAAAAATCCATACCTTCTTGAAACACTTGTAGCTTCTCTTTAGATATCTTTCAGTCCAAAACATAATTCAGCTGAGTTCAACCACTCACCTTTGCACAGGGCGTGAAGAAGAAGGGTGAAACAGTCTATCAGTCTGACATTCCGAAACAGTAATATACAATAAACAAAAGTTACAAGGCGAACAATTTGACTTAGTTTTTTGGTGGTCGTTATTTTTGCCGGTGAGTGTAGATGTCTATATTCGGAAATCCTGAATACATCACTTATTTGGATATACAATCCATCCATATTAGACTCACAGTGTTTCATCTTTGGATATCAAATAATAAGAAGTCAGTGGCAGATAGATTGGGTACACCTACCTGTTTTGATTGAATGGTCTTCATAACAAACACATGTCATTCAATGAGGAATTGAAATGGCGTCTCATACCACTGACCTTTGAACAAGAAATGAGAAGACAATGCTAGTTCTCGGCGTTACACTGAAATGAATTCGCGCATATTACGTGATGGGAATGGGAAAGTTGGTTATCGAGTATGCGCAGTACGTAAATTGTAATGGGTCGGCATGACCAGAAGCTGGTGACAGGTGACGTTTTCCATTTTACACTGCATACCTGTGCAATATAGACGGGTTCCTGCCGCCTCACGTGGGCATTTCATAAGAAAATGTGCTTTTTTGTGTAGTTTTTTCGTGTTTTTCCGCGATATTTTACTTAATGCCTGCCGTTGTGATTAACGGAAGGTCAAACAAATTGAAGCGCTAATAATTGATGGCATGCAATCCGCAGCGACTTCATGAACGGGCTCAAAGGGTTACGAAATTAAAGGCGACTTTCGTGTTTTCAAATTGTATGCTGATGTAAGGAATTGAAATTCCAATGTCAAAAACACTCTGGCGTCTGACCAACGGTGGAAAATTTCGGGAAAACTCTGTGAAAATTCACTTCAGGTTTCTCGTGATTGCAAACAATTTCTAATGAGGATAAATATAGATTTTATAACGGAATAATTCTCTAATACAAATGGCATGCATGTTGAAGAAGACCATCGTATTATAAATATTTATAAAAATTGCAACTTGCAACAGGAAACACCTGTGTGTAATTTTTACAAAGTATTCCTGAAATTCTCCACCGTTGGTTAGACGAAAGGAGCATGCCAATTTTTCCAGATTGTTTTTTCTCTACATCGGCATGCAATTTAGAAACACGAAAGTCCCCTCTAATTTCCTTCAGTTTTTCGGAATCTCTTTGAGCCATTAATATAGATTTTAGAACGAGATAATTCTCTAATACAAATGGCATCGAGAATGGCATGCCTGTTGAAGAAGACCATCGTATTATGAATATTTATAAAAATTGCACAACTTGCAATTTTGTCATGCATGCCTCTATTTTGCAAATTCTAGGTGTGCGTTTCAATTTACCAATTATCAATCATTTATAGAAATAAAGTATCTTTCTGATGGCATGCAGTTTGGAATCACGGAAAACTTGTAAGTAAGTTTTACAAAGTTCTCCCGAAATTCTCCACCGTTGGTTAGACGACGGGTGCATTCCAATTCTACCAGATTGTTTTTGTGACTGAAACTGCAATTCTTTGAACTTCCGCATACCATGCAACTTCAGGCAGTATAATATCGCGGAAAAACACGAAAATCCTTCACAAAAAGAAAAACGCTTTTCCTTATGAAGTGCAAAACTGGGGCAGCCAGGAACACCCGTTTATTTTTCATATTCTGGAGTCTTAGGATGATTATCAAGCTTCAAGAATGCATGCAGTGTGAACTGGGAGAATGTCACCTGTCACCAGCTCTGTTTTATAACTGCAATATACCGTATGCCAAGAAACAAAACCAGCGGACATACAAACTCTCCAACATCGATGATGAAACAGTATGACACTGGCTGAAATTCTCATCTTGTACAATACACCAAACACAAACAACGTAAAAATTGCTGACAAATGGCTCTGATGTGAGGGTCTATACTTTCATGAAATCTACAATTAGTATGAAGAAAGAATTCGAAACAGATACCAAAGACAGATGACGATGATACAATTATTATTGTAATGCTCGCCTATTGGTCGTTAAAGTTGTCCGCACATCCTCATGTATTGTCTTTCTTTTTGTAGATTAGAGCTCAGTGTCTTATTCTCGTCTGATCTCTATAGAGTTTAGCTCGCTCGGTTTGATTAATAATAATTGGACTCCTGTCTTCCGCCTCTTCTCCATGCCGAAAGACATCCAAGGTACATCCATCTTGGATGTGTAGTTCGAAGCAAATGTACTTCCTCTTCGTTATGTTTACATATAGGTCCACACAAAAACTGGATATCCAATGAAAGTTCAATCTGTAACATCCAATACATGTTAATCTTTGTACGTACAATATGAGGGTTGAACTTCAATGGATCTTCAGACCTTTAGTATACGTGAATAGGATCTACAATGGATGTAGCATCGATGGATCGTTGGCACTCGAAATGAACATAACATGGATGTCCAATGGAGGTCATGTGTTGTGTGAATGAGAGATGTGGATGATCTCATTCATTGAACTGATATACAAAATCATTAATAACATATTCCTACGACCACCTATGAAAACAGCACAAAACACATTGATTTGTTATTGAGAAAGTGACTCGATTCATTATGACAACATATAACAGTTAGAAAGTTCGAAAGCAAAACTCACATGGGTGGAAATACTCGAAAATCGCACAGTAACAGGGTTTATAGATTATGATGTACCAATGAATGATTATTATGCTGAATTATGGTAAGTTGATTTATGGTCAAGTTAATGGAAAGTTAGTGTCGATTTAACATGAGTTATTGTCGTTAATGTTGACGTTGTGTTAAGTTGATGAAAAGTTTAAATCAAGTTAATTTCAATTGAAAGTTAATGTCAATGTATTGGCAATTTAGTGATTATTGTGTCAATGTCAATTTGATTTTGAGTTGATGTTAATTTGATTCTAAGGTAATGTCAAGTTGGTTTTGAGTTAATGTTGAGTTAATGTTGAATAATTAGTTAATTTCGAGTTGATGTTAAGAAACTGTTGAATTTATGTTAGGTTGATGTCAGGTGGATGTTAAGTTTATGTCGAGTTAATGTTAAGTTCATATTGACTTAACGTTAAGTTAACGTTAAACTAATGATGTCATTTAAAAATCGAAATAAAATTAAATAATAATGATATCACCTTCATGTGATCGAATATGATTAGAAACATGATCCCTACTCTGATCTTATAAATACTCATGACATATAATATAAATATTTGTGGTCGTAGGAAAAATAGTGTACAAAACTCGTTGAAAAGTGCATTTCCTGCGCTCGTTCCGTTTCCGCACTCGCCGCTCTGCGGCTCGTGCTAAACGTCCACTCGCGCGAAATATGTCACTTTCCACACTAGTTATGTAATATCATATTTTAGCATTCTCCTTTTTTCCACTGAATCAAATGTTCGGGTTTATATTCTCACAAAATTTTTCGATATTGAGAATGATAAGTAATGTAGTTAACACCCATTTACACTGAACACAATTGTGACTCTTCTATATTTCCTAGGGATGTAAGTCGCTTTCTTAGATCCCGACGTCAATAGTAACTACTACTTTCAAAATGAAGTTACTGTATCAAAATCATCATGTACCGATACATACATACTTCACAATGATAATTGAAAAATAGTTCATTGAGACTTCTGTGAAATACAATTTTGACAAATCATATCCATTCAAGTAACTTTCATTATTGCAGGTGCTATAGAAGACCTTTACATATCCTACAGTAAATTTAAGGGATTGAATCCGAAGCCAAGGGCTACGGAATTGAGGAAGATGTTGGAGAATTATAGTTATGAAAATACGATACTCTTCTTCAGACCTGAAAAAACGCCATCTTGTTGATATGGATTATGTGCAATAAAATGATTTAATATTCATACCATATCTTTTAATGAATCCAGGCAAATGGAAAAAATTATTGGCTGATGTAGGTACCCATATGTATACTAATATATGTGTCGATGCAACAGAAAAGTTGTTAGAGTAGAGTAGAGTAGAGCAGTTTATTTGACCGTGATATTCAAATTACATGTACGGCAAGTCATAATCACAATAGTAACAGTGCTTAGAAATTTGAAAAAAAAAAATTCTTCACCATCAATCACTATAAAGCAAAAATACATGATATGTAGGAGATGGAACATCAAGTATCTGAACAAAATAACATGAACATCTCTGAACATTTTCAATTCTATTGGAGTGATTATTATAAAAGGGATTCCAGATGACAGATGCATACTCCAGGGAGGATCTCACAAGGGAGTTGAACAACGATTTAACAGCATCTGGGTCTAGGAAGGATTTTGTTGCCCTCATAATAAACCCAAGATTTCTTAGACTTTTCTGCACCGTCAATTCGACGTGTGTGTCAAAGGTTAATTTAGTATCTAGGTGAACACCTAAGTCTTTGATGACATCACAATCTCCCAGAACCTCACCGCACAGTACGAGATTGGAAGTGGGAGGATGATTATTACGAGTAAACAGGATCTTGTGACATGTACCAACGTTCAATTGGAGTTTGTCAACTGCACAATACTCTGTGAACCTATCAAGGTCCAATTGAAAGCATTGGTAGTCCTCCTGAGTGGTTATCGATTGATACACTTTCAGATCGTCAGCAAGAAGTTTGAATTTGGTCCATTTGAAACACTAATTAACATCGTTCAAAAAAATTGAGAACAGTATAGGGGTCCCAGGTGAGATCCCTGAGGTACCCCAGATGTGACCTTCATGGTCCTCGATTTATAACCATTGATAACTACGTACTGTGTTCGATCTGAAAGGTATGATTTCAAAAGTTGAAGTAAATTGCCGTGCACACCGAAGTTCTGAAGCTTTCTAACCAAAGTAGGATGATGAACTTCGTCTAAGGCCTTCGAGAAGTCCGTGTAAACAGCACAGGTAGGTTTACCCTTGTCCATCTCGCTTAAGACATCCTGAATAAAAGGGAAGAGCTTAGTGATCGCCGATCGTTTAGTGTAGAAACCGTGTTGGTTAGGGGTAATTAACATTTTGGATTGAAAGAATGAATTTTTTGTTGAGATTGCTTCGAATATTTTAGCAAAATGACTCAAGAGAGAAATCGACCTATAATTGATTATGTCATTCTTATTACCGGATTTATATCATATATTCTTGACATTCCAGCATGAGCCGCTAGAATATCAAGAATAATCAATGGAAGAAGAAATGAATCGTGTAGTCTTTAATTTTTGTTACGTGATGGAAATCCATTGTAAATATAAAATACTTCACAAACCCACACGACATGTTTCACTAATACAGTATCTTCTTCAAGTGAAATACTAGGAACAATCGAAAAGAACCTCACATTTAGAGATGGTCCATGATTTTCCAAACCTCACATTTTGATTTATAATGTAACCTCAATGTGAGTCCAATTTCAACGTGAAATATGGAGTCACATTCAGCTAACTTTGAGTCTCATTCGGCATCTATATTTGAAGTGGAAAAGTGATCAGAAGAACCTCAAATAGAGGATCTGTAGATGTCGATGTGATTCACAAATGACGAGTGTGATCTCAATCATGAATGTGAAGTGTACTGACATCTCTGTGATCAATTCGTATTTACTAGGAAGAACCTCAAAAAATCAATTCCTCAATTTGATATCCTAACAAGAGAGAGGTTGTCGATAAGACTTAAAGAGAGGGAAGCAATAGGGAGAAAATGAGAATTGTATTGAATTTATAGTATAGGTATACTGAAACATGCGCGATTTTTCGAGCACAATGGCCTTGGCTAGAGCTAGCATATAGAACATATACTATACCTTTGTATGGCGATGCTAGCGATGAAACCTGGTGGCGTTATTATTGGTCAATTTGGATTGGTAAGCTACTTTTGTCCAATAATATCATTACACGTTTCATGGCTAGCATCGTGAAAGCAAAAATTGCCTAGCAATAAACCAAGCTCGATTCGGACTGAGAGATAGACCGCCTGAAGAACAATATCAACAATAAACGCTCAAAAAATATGCGTTCGTTAATAAATTCATATATTTATTATGAAAACAGAGATTTATTTCCTTCCAGGTGTGTGATAAAACTTCACACACAAGACGAAATGGATATCTATTGATATGGTTTGTAATATGCATTACGGAATATAACTTCAATAAATTCATTTCGATTCCTGATATTGTATAAACTACAGATGAGCTGAACTTTTTTTATACACCTACCTATTCTATGAGCAGTTGCCATCCTATCTGTTAAACACACTTTTTATCTGAATACCATGAAGCATGAAGAATGGCAATTTTCTTGTTGATAACATATCATTATGGGGATAAACAATGGTCGATGATATCACAAATCATTTATTACTTATCATGAAATACTATTACCATTCATATTGTTCAACATTCAATGTCATGAATGTATTAATTCATCATGTCTTTATCCAGAAATCAATCTTTGCTTTGAGAATATTACATTTCATAAACGAGCCTGAGATGGTCCTTCATCGCTGGACGTTGAAATACCTAAATTGCACTAAGTTTCATTTGCAGACTATATATACGGCAAAAACGCCGAAAGTCAGTTTTCACGATATAATGAGATATTAGTTGAAAAATGCTAGCAAGAAGTAGAACCGAATGCCCTGGACTGCTTGATAATATCACTGATAGTCTCACAATTATTCACGAAACAAATTCTGTATTTTGTATAAAAATGTCATGTCGATAGGACGCAAAGTTTCAGGGATATACTAACACCTGTTTTCTGCAAGTTGGTCAACTACTCTTACAAATTGGGAATATTCCCGTCCAACTGGAAAATTGCAAGAGTACAACCAGTTCCTAAAAAAGGCAAAAAGACCCTACCTAGCAACTACAGACCGATTGCACTGCTATCTAAAATTTCGAAAATCATGGAGAAAGCTATCAACATCGAGCTCATGGAATACCTGGAACATTCTGGTATTATCAACAATAGGCAATATGGCTTCCATCATTAGAGATCAACTGGTGACCTGCTCGCTTACGTCTCACATATATGGCAGCATTGTATTGATAAATATGGTGAAACCTTAGCCATGGCACTTGGTATCTCCAAGGCATTTGATCGAGTCTGGTACAACGGACTCTTCGCCAAGCTTCCATCTTATGGCTTGCCTCCCCAGCTATGTTCTCTGCTAGCTAGTTTTCTCTCAAACAGGTCTCTCCATGAAGTGTTCGACGGAGTTTCAGCTGACTCTCCCATGATAAATGCTGGTGTACCGCAAGGATCAATTCTAGCACCAACACTATTTCTACTCCATATCAACGATTTGTTGAAAGCAACTTCATGTCCAATACACTGCTTCGCGGATGATAGTACCCTCCATACCGCCTTCTCTTCCAGGGCTCCAATACCAGCCTGGCAAATTAGAAACGTACGAGGAAGAAATGTTGACAACATAAATATGGACTTGGCAACAATTCTCGATTGGGAATCCAATAACTTGGTAGATTTCAATGCAAACAAAACACAAGCATGCCTTTTCTCTCGAAAAGCCGATCTCACTGTGCCCAACATAAGCTTGTCAGGAGTAACCATACTTTTGGAGACATCCATTCCGGTGCTTGGTATTACTATCAGCAATAACCTTTCTTGGGAAAATCACGTGGGATCAATTGCTAAAAGTGCATCCCAAGAACTTGGTTTTCTGTTTAAGGCCAGGAGCTATTTCACTTCCAGTCAGCTGCTTATGATTTACAAGGCACAGATTCGACCTGTCCTGGAAAACTGTTTCCATATTTGGAGTGCAGCACCCAAACATACCCTGAAACTGTTGGATTCTGTCTAAAAAAGGGCAATTTGTCTCGTGGGTGATGCCTCGTTCACAAACTCATTCACTGGAATACCGTAGAGAAGTTGGCGATCTGGCTCTATTTTATAAATATTTTCATGGACGATGCTCTTCTGAAATATCAACAATTGTTCCTCCCTTGGCACTCCCCGCGAGATCAACCTGTCGAGTCGAGACTTCGCACCCCTTCGTGGTCACTTTGGAGACCTGCAGAACATCTCTTTCCAAAAACTCGTTCATCCAACGAACAGCGAGGCTCTGGAACACATTGCCAAGGGAGGTATTTCCCGAAGCATATAACCTCCAGAAATTTAAGAACACCAATTTCTACCTCATTTCCCTTGGTTCTCACGATGTTCTATGAATATTACAGGATATCCTTTACTTTCAAACCCCCTCCTTCAATCCAGCTTGAGGGCTAAGGGCAGGGAGTCAAAAATTGTGTTCCAAGCATTTCATTTTTTATCTTTTCGTTGCCTGGGCTAATTCTGATTCGCGGCTAACAGATTGACACTTTTTTTAACCATCTATCTGGGGTCTAAGTTAGAACATTGAAAATGTCCATCTATACCTACAAACTTAAGTGTCAGAAAAAAAAATTGACACTATAATTGAGACACTACAAGTCAATTCATCCACCAATATAACATATACAGGGTGGCATTGGAATAAGTGCAAATATTTCAAACACTGAGAAAGCTCGAAGAATGGCACTAATGAAAAAAAAATAGGGATCAAAATAAAATTCGAGGTTAGACCCCTTTTTCTACCCAAAATTCTTCATTGTAGCAAATCTGACGTCACCTCTGTTCAAATTTCCGTGCGGTAGGTACAATCACGCAGAGTTCAATCATTTAAATTGTTTTAAACTGGCGTACTTGATTTTTTTTCTCGTATTTTGTATAATTCTTTGGATGACATTGCCCGTCAATTAGAAGAGCTAGAAGAAATCTGATATCATGGGAATATTCCTCAGACTGTATCATATTAATGTGCTGAATATGTGTACTCATTTTAAAAACACCTTGTATTTGCTCTATCTTGGGTAGGAACTCCACACTCGCTTCAGGTTCAAGAAAGGTATCTGCCTTTATTCCAAAACGAATGGCTTATGTCATAGAGAAGAACTTGGAACCAAATAAATTTGATGTTATGTGGTGCAATCCC